TTTCATTAATTCAAGCCTACCACGAACGTTTATAACAACATATATTAATCATATATGGTTCCAAACGACATTATATGACCCTGAAATGCATCCCCTAAAATCACAATGTTTTTCGACAACGAGCCCTGAAACATTTAAAATTTCTCAAAAAGCGTGGTCTGTAATTTTTGAATTTTTTAACTTTTTTTCCCCCGGATATAAAATTTGCCGAAATGTTTTCCATGGTCCCTAATAACCTCCGGGAGTCCCATTTAGTGGGTAGAACTATCCAATTTGCAATTAAACGACCAATTTACCGGTTTACAACTTGCATCGATTTCATTAATTGTAGCCTACCATGAATATTTATGACAACATATATTGATCATATATGGTTCCAAACGACATTCTATGACCCCGAGATGTATTCCCCACAATTTCAAGACTTTTCGACACGGGTCTGAAACATTCGAAATTTCTCAAAAAAGCGTGGATATTAGCCTTCAATTTTGGAATTTTTTGACATTTTTTCACCCGGATATAAAATTTGCCGAAATGTTTACCATGGTCCCTAATAACCTCCGGGAGTCCAATTTGGTGGGTAGAACCATCCAATTTTCCATTAAATGACCTATTTACCCGTTTACAACTTGCACCGATTTCATTAACTCAAGTCTACCACGAACATTTATGACAACATATATTTATCATATATGGTTCCAAACGAAATTATATTACCCAGAGATGTATCCATGAAAATCTCAATGTTTTTTGACACCACGCCCCGAAAAATTCAAAATGTTTAAAAAGCGTGGATATTAGCCTTCAGTTTTGGAATTTTTTGACTTTTTTCACCCGGATATAAAATTTGCCGAAATGTTTACCATGGTCCCTAATAACCTCCGGAGGTCCAATTTGGTGGGTAGAACCATCCAATTTGCCATTAAGCGACCAATTTACCGGTTTACAACTTGCAACGATTTCATTAATTCAAGTCTACCACGAACATTTATGACAACAAATAATGATCATATATGGTTTGAAACGACATTATGTGACCCCGAGATGTATTCCCTAGAATTTCAAACTTTTCGACACCAGGCCTCGAAACATTCGAAATTTCTCAAAAAACGTGGATATTAGCCTTCAATTTTGGATTTTTGACTTTTTCGCACGGATATAAAATTTGCCGAAATGTTTACCATGGTCCCTAATACCCTCCGGGAGTCTAATTGGCTTGGAGGAACCATCCAATTTGCCTTTAAACTAACTACCAATTTACTGGTTTAAAACTTGCACCGATATCATTAACTCAAGCCTACCACGAACATTTATGACAACATATATTGATCATATATGGTTCCAAATGGAAATATATGACCCTAAGATGTATCCCCTAAAATCTCAATGCTTTTCGACACCGGGCCTCGAACATTCGAAATTTCTCAAAAAACGTTGATATTAGCCTTCAATTTTAGAAATTTTTGACTTTTTTTCGCCCGGAAATAAAAATTGGCGAAATGTTTGCCATGGTCCCTAATACCCTCCGGAAGTCCAGTTAGATGGGTGGAACCATCCAATTTGCCTTTAACGATCAATTTACCGGTTTACAACTTGCATCGATTTCATTAACTCAAGCCTACAACGAACATTTATGACAACATATAATGATCATTTATGGTTCCAAACAACATTATATGACCCCGTTATGTATCCTCTAAAATCTCATATATTTTTTCGATATCGGGCCCCAAAACAATCGAAATTTCTCGAAAGGCGGGGACATTAGCCTTCAATTTTGGAATTTTTTTACTTTTTTTTCGCCTGAAAATAAAAGTTGCCGAAATGTTTACCTTTGTCCCTAATACCCTCCGAGAATCCAATTAGGTGGGTGGAACCATCCAATTTGTTTTTAAACGACCAATTTTACCGGTTTACAACTTGCACTGATTTCATTAACTCAAGCTTAGCGTGGATATTAGCCTTCAATTTTGGAATTTTCTGACTTTTTTCGCCGGAAAATAAAAATTGCTGAAATGTTTACCATGGTCCCTAATACCCTCTGGAATCCAATTGGGTGGGTGAAACTATCCAATTTGCATTTAAACGACCAATTTACCAGATTACAACTTGCATTGATTACATTAAATCAAGCATACCACGAACATTTATGACAACATACAATGATTATGTATGGTTCTAAATGGCATTATATGACCCCGAGATGTATCTCCTAATATTTCAAGGCTTTTTTACTCCGGGTCCCGAAACCTCTAAAATTTATAAAAAAGCGTGGATATTAACTTTTAATTTGTGTATTATTTGACTTTTTATCGCCCGAAAATAAAAATTGTCGAAATATTTACCATGGTCCCTAATACCCTCTGGGAGTCCAATTGGGTGGGTGGAACCATCCAATTTGCCTTTAAACGACCAATTTATCGGTTTACAACTTGCACAATTTTCATTAACTCAAGCCTACCATGAACATCTATGACAACATATAATGATCATATAAGTTTCCAATCATCATTATATGACACCCAGATGTATTCCCTAAAATCTAAAGACTTTGCGACACCGGCCTTGAAACCTCCAAAATTTCTCAAAACGTGTGGAAATTAGCTTTCATTTTTGGAAAATTTTGACTTTTTTTCGCATGGAATAAAAATTGCCGAAATGTTTATCGTGGTCCTTCATACCCTCTAAGAGTCCAATTGGGTAGGTGGAACCATCCAATTTGCCTTTAAATGACCAATTTATCGGTTTAAAACTTGCACCGATTTACCGATTTACAACGGCCAATTTAATTCACTTGCACCGAACCCGACTTGAACCGAAATTGACCCAAAACTGTTTTAACTCTTCAAAACTAGTATTTACTCGACTTGTTACTAACCTGACCTGAATTTAACCGACCTGAATTTAACCCAACCTGTTACAAACCCGAGCCGAAATCAACCCGACTTGTTATTGACCTGACCCAAATTAAACCCGGCTTTTTATTGACTCGACCTAAATTTTACCAGACCTATTACTTACCCAACCCAAAAATTCAACTCGATCTGTTACTAACTCGACTCGAAATTAAGATGACTTGTTATTGTCCTGACCTAAATTCAGCCCAAATTATTCCTGACCCGATTTCAAATCACCTTAAAGGCAATTTAGACCACCTTATTATTGTTGATCAAAGCATTTTGTCTAGGGAGACCAAGTCGGTCTAGGCTGACAAAAGAAATGAGCATCATCCTCAAATTTAAGAGTTAAATATAGTATATATTTGTTGTATGCTCAAAGGAGATAATTATCTTCCTAAATTATAGACTATAGTTCCCTATTATATTGCCATATATATTATAGTTAAAGGAAATAATTAGCTTGATAAAAATAATAATTATCTATTTATAGTTAGTTAAACCTGAATATGACCTGATTTGGAAATGACTTGACCTGATTGTGACCTGCAAATTATTGATTTGAACATAACCCGATTTGAATCCGAGAATGACCCGACTTGAAAATGACCCAACCTGATTATAACCCGCAAATTATTGACTTGAACCGAACCCGACTTGAATCCGAGAATGACCCGACTTGAAAATGACCCGACCTGATTATAATCCGCAAATTATTGACTTGAATCGAACCCGACTCAAACCAGAGAATGTCCCGACCTGGTTCTAACCCGCAAATTATTGACTTGAACCGAACCCGAGAATTACCCTAACCCGTTTTAATGCGTGAAAACCCGAATTAAACCCGACCTATCGTTCACCCGACCCGAATGTAACCCGACCTGTTATTAACCCGACCCAAACCCGATTTGAAGTATGAGCCGACGTGACCCGACTCAAGCATGACCCAACCCAAACCCGACCCGCAATAGGTTATGGAATTAATTCGAATTGATCTGACCCGAGTTGACCCGACCCAAACCCGACCCGTTTACCCGAATTGACAGCTCTAATCAAGATCAGGTATTAATACCTATCCGGAGGTGAGTTGTTTCCTTATAATTGATTTATTTATTCAACCTGAATAACATGCTATTATAATATGAGCATGTTTTTGAATAAAGGATAAGCAAAATTGAGCTATCAAGTACATCTACCTTGTAAGGATTTGGCAAGCGAGAAGGACATGTGATCCTCTCTAGTAGTCTTCGACACTAAGGGATAGACTTGCGTACTATCGTACATTAGTATATATGTATCTCTTTTTATTTTTTCTCCCGTACAACGGCAACATCAAATTGTTGGCTTATACCATGTTGTCGACGATGCCCATATTAGATGTGGATGGGCTTAACCCGACTCGATTGAGCAGAGTTTGTCCAATATGTTTGCTTCAAAACCAGAATACCCAAGGTTCACAACTTGAGCAAATTCTTAGGCCCAATATATGGGCCAACCCAATGTATTGGGCCAAAACGACCAACTTTGTAATGGTGACACCCAAGAGTAGCAATGATTTATGCCCAAATGTTTTGCCATACTTTTACGCTCATCATTCTACCATAGAAGGGAAAGGAGAATGCATCACTTTAATATTTCCAATCATTTTTTCACATCGACTTGAATATAGGAATTTGTTGATTTTAGATCTTTGTATTGATTACTAAATATCCCATAGTCCGATAGGCGATAGTCCCATACCATTATAAACTTCCATAATCACCCACCCTAACCTCCCATGCCCAAATTCTTTTACTTATGCTCCATACTTGTACTAAGAGCTGTCGAATTGACTCAGCATGACACCAGATCACCCATACCCGATTGAATAACCAAATCGATAAATATAACTACACGTACGTGGTACAGATAATCACCAAAGGAGAACCTAAGAAGAATAATAACTACTTGAACAAACAATTTGACCCATCACAACCATCCAATCAAAGTCAATGAAAGTAATGGACGGCCAATACCATATTATGCTTGATAGGAGCTTTTCTTTTCCATTCGAAACAACCAAAATATAAACCAAAAATTAAAAAAAAAAATCAAGCAAAATGGATAATCTTATTTAAGATATTTCAAAAATTATGAATAAAAAAAATTAGCAAAATCCCAAATTTGTTGTTTAGCAAGAGAAAAATAGAGGACCAAACAAGGCCTTATCAAATTTTTTAGCGTCTTTTCTTTTACTTCTGACGCTCATTATTTTTTGATAATTCCCAGAAAAAATAAAATAAAAATAAAAGATAAATCCATCTCCCGCGACCAGCAGGAGGAGAGAGAAAATCAAACATCATTTTGCAATTTCCCAAGATTTTTTCTCAGGTAATTTACATCTTTCTTCCCTTTGATTTGATTTGATTACCAGAACCCTAATTTATCGGCATAATTAATTTCCCTCTTAATTACGTCTTAATTCACCCTTTTTTTTTGAGGTAATTCAAAGGGTTTTAGCTTTTATTGTTTGTGTTTTTATTGATCATTTGTTTAATTATTATTTGTTAATTAACATTTGTGGTCTTTGATTCCGCTAGAATTTTCTGTTTCTGGGTTATGATTTTTGTGGGGGTAATTTATATTATTTGGGAGGAGGGGTGTTTGCCCTGTTTGGTTCTTGGTCAACTTTGAGGAGTGAGAAATTTTGGTGATGGGAAATTTGTTATTCTGAAAGATCTTATTGATTTGTATATGGGTTATCAATTTGATTAGAATTTTGTTGTAATTTATGGTTTTTAATTTTTTTGATTATTTAAAGGTTTTACAAATTACAATTGATATAGTAATAAAAAAATGAGAAAATGTTTGTCTTGCTGAATTCAGCTCAAGGCCTTCAACGTTTTTAATATGGAGAAATTGGTGATATTCCCATCTATGATTCTTTATTTGTGGAGGTGTGTATCGTGATTGTTCCGAAAGCTTGTTGGGTGTTTGGTTCTTGTTATTCTGAAAGCTTGATAGATGCTTGTTATAGTGGATGTTTCTTGTTCCGTTCGTGGGGAAAGAATGAGCTTTTCTCAGCTGATTTTTCTGATTCTTTTGTTATGAATTCCTACCCTAATGTAGTATGAGTAATTAAGTGATGTAGTCTGCTTAGGCTTCTCGAGTTAGCTCTTATTGGCTATGTTGTGAGATGGAATATTAAATTTTAATAGGGGGTTCTTTTGTTATATTGTTAATGTAATTGGCTAACACTATTCATTTAATAATTAGCCAAATGATCAAATTCACCTCATGTAAGTTGATCAATGGTTGAAGTTGGATTGTATGTGTAGAAGAGACAACCAAAAGTTGTTTTGAGAGATGACCATTATTAAGTAGATTAAGTGGATCCATTTGATGGGGTAAGGGAGGGTAAAGGAGAAGATTTTGTTTTCATAAAAAGAATATGTGAAATAAGGTAGAATTTAAAGGAGCGGATTTAAACGGATAGAGAGACGCACACAAAGAAATGGAGGGAGTATAAGATAGCTAACATCTTAACTGTTTTATGTTTATTCCCCTTGTATGAAGTTCATAATTTGTTATGAACATCCAATGTGAACCTTACTTTCTAGCTTTAGGCTGCTTTACTTGCTTTAATTTTGTCGTTTAAGTTCAGTTCGGTGGCATGATTTATACAACATGAGTTTACTAAAGATGGTAGATTGATTTGTAGGGATTGTAGAGAAGATAAAGTATGAGTACATTAGATGTTCCCAGGGCAGAGCTTGCTCTTGCAGTTCTGTACTTGAACAAAGCAGAAGCCAGGGATAAGATATGCAGGGCAATCCAGTATGGTTCAAAGTTCTTGAGTGATGGACAGCCAGGTACAGCACAAAATGTTGATAAATCAACCAGCTTGGCAAGGAAAGTCTTCCGTCTCTTCAAGGTTTGCTCAAATTTCATCTTTTGATTTCAAATTTATTCGATTGAATAGATTTTGGCACTATGAGGTTTTCTTCTTATTTTGGGGAGTATATCCACTATGGTTTTCTCTTTGAACCCTATTAACAACATTTTGGCTTTTTAAATTGAAGTTGACCTAAGCTGACTTTTTCATTGCAGTTTGTTAATGATTTGCATGCTCTGATTAGCCCAGTTCCGGCTGGAACTCCTCTTCCCCTGACCTTACTTGGAAAGGTATTCAAGCTCATTGATTCTACTCTTAAGACAAGTATCATATCTTAGATACTTGTATAAGATATCTATTAACCTTTTATTTTTCTTTCCAGTCCAAAAATGCACTATTGTCCACATTTTTGTTCCTTGATCAATTTGTTTGGCTTGGTAGAAGTGGCATCTATAAGGTATGGGCTCCATTTTTTCTTTTTCTGTTGATCTAGCACTCTAGCATGGTTTATATGATTCATACTTGGTGAAACTCAAATTTTGATTGATAGAACAAGGAGCGGACTGACCTGATTGCCAAGATTTCTCTTTACTGTTGGATGAGCTCCTCTGTTTGTACTTCTTTGGTTGAGGTTTGTTGTTTCCCAAAATCCTTTATCATTTTTGCTCCTGTAACTGGGGAAGTCTTTCTGCTATCGTGTTTTCTTATAAATTTAGGTGCTGTTGACTTTCTGAAAGGTGCTAAGTGACTTTCTTTAAGTAGCTATTGGTACATAAAATTTCAGATTGGGGAACTTGGAAGGCTTTCGGCCTCCATGAAGAAGTTGGAGAAGGAGCTTAAGGGTAGTGAGAAACATGAAGTAAGTGTTTTTTTGAGATACCTTGCTGGCTGTAGCTCATCTTTATATGTCTCCAATGTTAGCATCTTTGACTGTGTTGTACATGTTTGTGAATACAGAATGAACAATACAAAGTTAAGGTTCAGAATTATAACGACAGGTCATTGACCTTGATTAAAGCCGCCATGGATGTAGTTGTAGCTGCTGGACTGCTTCAACTGGCACCCAAGAAAATTAATCCTCGGGTGACTGGGGCCTTTGGTTTTGCTACATCTCTCATATCTTGCTATCAGGTGCGTCCATGTTGTGTACTCGATCCATTCCTTGGTTGAACATGCCTCCGTGTCTAGTTGTGCTTGTAGCGTGTCTAGTTGTGCTTGTAGCGTGTCTAGATTGTTTCTTGCTTTGCATTTGAAACCTCATGCTACCATCATTAGCTGGCCGTTCAGTTTCAGTTTTTGTCCTATATGGGACCAGTTTTATGGTAACCTGAAATGTATTGTTTGAATTTAAAACTTGAAGTTCTGTGCAGTAAGCAATAGAGGCTACTCGGGAGGATATGTAGGACATAATAGAATTGAGTAATGGTTTCAATTTGTATAGTTTTCTAACAATGAAGGTTTCTGCCTAGGGTAGAGACTCAAATTATTCGACTAATTCCAAGAGATTTTTTATTTTTTATTTTTAAAAAAAAGTTTGGTAAGGTTACTAAGTCCTCTCACTGGGAACATTGCCTAATTGATATACCCCCCCCTCTTCTCTCCCACTCAACGAGAATTAAAGTAGCCGTAGGACAAATTAATCTGATTTAATATACGGAGAATGTATATCAAGTCTTCTCAAAATATACCCTACCAAAGAAAAAGTTAGAAGAAACTACTAAAATCTGGTTTCAAACAGAGCTTAGTACATTTGAGAAATGTCATTCATGTGTGCATAATAGTGTGAAGACTGCCGGGTCATATTATCAAGCACTCGCATGATGTTTCCGTAACGTTGGTCTATGATTACAGCATTGTATTTTATAATCAGTTTGCCGGATTTGATTCTAACTTCTTTCTTTCCCATATCTGATGCAGTTACTTCCTTCACGACCAAAGACCAAGACATCTTGAATAAGGAAATCACCTCCTTTGCTGCGAATGATTATAAGAAGCCATGATCCATGTCTATGTATGCTTGGGTGAATCTAGATATCAAGTAGGGTGACATTCATTTAATTAAGAACTGGTACTGTATTTCTTTCTCGCCAAGTTTGTCCTCACAGTTCGCAATAGTAATATGTTTATTAATCTCGTTTAGCCAAGAAAGCACTGTTGTATTGTCTGGTTTGAAATTAATATAGGCAATAAGCTTTTCTTGAATCTAACAATTTTTCCTCTTATCCTTCCTCCCCAAACATATGTTTTTTTTGAATACAATACATGAATCGTATCTTTTATTACACTTTAGCATATCCGGAAAGTGGAGGAGAATGAAGCATAGAAGCTAGAGCTAATCGGATGACCTAAACTGAATTTTAAGATAATAATCAGCTAAATGTATACTAGCCCATGACAGCAAGAGATATGAAGTCATTATCTACTTCAAGAGCATTCATTGCATCAGGTGGTAGGCATATCTCCAAATCTATGCTTTGTCCTCCTTCACTTCCTGGATATGCAGTGACTTTTCCAGGAAACTTGTTTGCATACCCACTGCGAACAGCCACCGGTTTACCGATTCCAAAATCATTCCCGTACACATCAAATCTTGGGGAGCTTCCAATCACTGTGCTGTTTGGCTCAAAGAACGCATCAATCTGATAAACAAAAGGCGACTTCATCCAAGCCTCAAATACACTTCGCACTGTTTTATCAGTCAGCTCTAACACTGACTTCTGCAGCAGTTCTGCTGTCCATCCTAAGCTATGGTCAAGGACTTCATCAGCTGTGGCAGCAGCTTTAGCCACCCAAATTGAATTCCCAAAATAACCTTGAGGTAGTTGAGGGTTTAACCTCTGCCTCAGGTTAGCATCCAAGGAGCAGGTAGTCTTCTGATCACCTGCTAAACAGCGTGCCCTGGTAATAGACCTCCAGACTAGCGCAGACAATGCTTGCAATGACGAGATCTCCTTATTAGTCTCTCCAACCTCTATGTTTGCCTTCATCTTGAGCTTTGATATCGACTCTGACGAGAAATGGAAGATTTTTTCTCTTAGTTGAGGTGCCTCATATCTGCTTATGAATTCATCAGTATGGATAAAGGGAAGGGTGACTCGTGGACCGTATCCTTCAGGAAACCAACGTTCATGTACAGGAAGCTTTGACATCGAAATAGGACTGTGTTGCATATGTATCTCTGACCATATGTTCCAGAAATTCCAGTAAGCAGTTCCATCAGCTACTGCATGATTCAATGAACAACAGATGAAAATCCCATCTACAAGCTCTGTTACCTGTAGCCAGAATTATACAATTAGATGCAGGACATCTTTTGGGAAAAAAGCTTGAAAGAATGAAATGAAACCCCTGATAATACTTCTAGATTTCCACCGTCTTTTATTCACCTGAACAGATAACAAAGGCCTTGTATGGCCATCGTAATTGACAGCTTTATGGTGATCAAACAACGATTTCACAATCACAGGCACGTCGATAGGAGACAGAATATCCTGAAGAGTCATATCAAGAGTAGCATGGATAAATCTAGCTCCAGGACCCTTGTTGCAGTCAATAAAGATCAAGCTAGTATGCTGATCTTCATCTATCAGTGTCGAAAGTTGGCCTGTCAACAGATAGAAATGAGCAAGAGTACGAGTAAGAGAATCCCTGATCTTTTCCAGGAAATCTGCAATGCTGAAATGTTGATCAGTTGCTGAAGGTTTCATGTAAAGAAGACCCTTCTGAATGTAGTGAGCTGAGAGCATGGCTAGATCACCAGGTGACAAATAGTGAGGCTGTTTCGAATCATTGTCGTCGAGTTTTGGCTTGATGAACCATTCTGAAACAAGTTCGACAATTGGAGAATTCGACATTGGAAATTGTTTCACACCAGCTGCTATTCAGTAGCAATTCGCCGTAAAAATCAAAGAAAATACATATATTAGTTATTATCGTAAGTTTGGAACTTCACAATTTTTACAGTAACAACAAATGAGGTACAAGATGAACCGACAAAATCAATAATTACTTCACCCAATTATCTCTCAACTAATTACTAATCTCAAGAAACAAATTTTCTACAATCAAATTCAATTCGTAAATATTAACCCAACAGTTAAATCAATCATTAAACAAGTAAAATGATCATTGGCAATATTTAACAAATACTCAAGCGATAAATTTTAGAAAAACAAAAAAAAAAAATAAAAAAAAAAGAAAGAGAAAGAAAGAGAAGTAGGTACCAGAAGAAAACGACCAGATTTTGCTGTCACTGGCTTGCTGTTTCGTCTGCTATTTTTTGGTTTTTTTTTTTTGGAAAAATGAGGTAAACATATGGATTTTTTTTTTAATTTTTTTTTTGGAAGATATTTTTTTGATATTTTGTAGTTTTTTTATTATTATTATTATTTTTTTATTTTTTTTTTTTTTTTTTTTTCGCTCTTGTTATAGATCAAATTATATTGTAATACTTCGTATACAATTGATGACACTTCAAAAGACATTATTTTCGGAATAATCCAAAATATTACTTCATATTTTTTGGACAGAACCGTATATAAATCATAGAGTTTGTTCTATATAAAGGTACGACCGTACGAGTAGTATACTCGGTAACAAGTCATTTCAAGCGTTTAATATTTTACCGATACATTATGATCTACTACTTTGAAAACCCTCGTCTATAGTTGAAGTTGTGGTCAAACTTGAAGGGTGGCAATAGACGCTTATGGATCGCTTGAACTAGCCCCTTAATCGTAGTTCAAGTGGTATCTTGCTGTGTCACAGACTAATAGGAAACACAGCAAGAAGACATCAACAAGTTCACAACAAATTAGGAACAAGTAAACCAAGACAATCGCTCAATCATCAAGTAATAAAAGCGGACTCTTCTTGCTTGTTAAAAGCTATTTACAGAACGATGGACCAGTCTCAATGCACAGGAAACATTGACAATGATTATTAAACGATTTAACAAGAACAGTTACTGGCAAATAGTCTTTCTCATTCCAGAGTTTAATCATCAAATGACTTCAATGTGAGATATATGGTCATCAGATGCAAGCGATGGAATGACTGATTGACTGGTACAACAAGAAAAATGTGACGACATAAAAGTTTAAAGCTCAAGCTCCTCAGCCATCTCATCTTCCGAATAGAGGATCTCATCCTCGGAGTCATAAACTTCAACCCCTAGAGTTCCCCGTAACATATTTAGAATCTGCTCCCAACCCCTAACGTGTCTTTGCACCATCTCTGGAGTAACACTGATTTCATCAGATTCCTCATTACTGCTACGAGGGGCAGAGAACTTGGCCTGAGGGTTGTGCACAAGTGTAAATCTTCCACTTGGATCAAGAGATTTAACCCCGAAAACAGGGTCCAAAGAACGCCCCAGAACTTGAACATGTGCCACACTGTAAAAAGCATGACAAACAGCAAATTAAATTAGCTGCAAGATACAATAAAATAGTTAGAACCTGGTTGGATATCCAGTAACCAGTATCATTTATGGCAATATATGGGGAATGCTAACAACAAACCAAAATAGCACGATCAAAGTCTAAACAAACAAAAAAAAAAAAAATACTTAATCCAAGAAATGATAAACCATAGACTTCAAGTAATTGAATTGATCTACGCATTCTAATTAATCTTACAGAAAGGAACCATATAGAATTCTGAATTCTTACACAGATGACAATGAGACTAAACGTTATGTTCCACAACGAAACTCGAGGAATAAGAGCATAATGGGCTTGCAGACCATTGAGAGTAGGATATAGTCTTTAGAAAAATTCAAAGCCTGGCAATGACTTTCAAAGAGAAGGCTAGGACAACAAATAAGGTTTCCTAGTTAAGATACAGATAATTCCATCACCATAAAAAAATATTATGGACTCTATTAGAGTACCTACTTCTAGCTATTAGCAGTCTGGTTAGTTTTATGAAGTATATTTTTAAAGCATAAAGAACAGAAGGAATAAAACAGGGTGAGACGAACCAAATATTAGATGGAAAACTATTACAAAAAAGAAAAAAAGAAAAAAAAAAGAAGGTAAAACCTTGACAGGATATAAAGTATAACCTAGTTTATCAATAATACTATGTCAGACCTCAAGCGTCAAACAGAATCTCAATATATGAATATATAAGTAAAAAATTGACTCAAAGTAGCCCTGTTCAAGGCTTAACTACAGACAAAAACAAGCCATCAGTCAAAACATAGTATTATATCAATATACCACTTAACTTAGTTCCAAGACTCACCATATGTAAAAGAGTCCATCCATTTCTTGCCTCTGACCTCTACCCAGAAGCTCTATCTGCAGATATCCCCCAAAGCAAAGAACAGGCTCTGGAAGCTTGAAATTTTGTAGGCGATTCTCCTGTATTTAGAACTATCTTAATAAAAACAGTCCTTAAAACACCAAATCAAAACATAAAAATTATCTGCAATCTGCACTAATAACACTCGTCTTTCCTTTTGTTCTCTCTGTTCTAATTTCAGGATCTATTCTTATGTTCTTTTCCCGGACGGAGGGGAGGGGAGATAGGCTAAGAAAATAATTCACATGTGAAAGCATCACTCATTAGCATCATCAGATACATTATAGAAATGAGAAGGTGCACCGATGTTCCTCCTTACAAGAAAAACATCTCTGTAGTTATTTAATCACATAGGTACCAACTAAAAATTTTCCTCGGCATGTGATATTATCAGGTACAAGTGTATATTACACAGATTATGCATACTACCAACTATACAAATCAGGGCTTGACCAAGGATCGTTAATGGTGCCCTGACTTCTTGGGTTAGAAGATAGGAGTCATATTAAAAGATCCTAGGCCTACTTTATAATGCAAGCACTAATGAAACGAAAAAGAAAAAGAAAAAGAATTTGCCGGTGGAAAATACAAGTGAGTGAATTACTAGATATGGCTGGATTCAAGTGAAGTGATGACCAAGTCATTCAACCAAATAACTTAACCAAGCAGTCAAAGTCTTTACATTCTACAGGGAAGAGCAGTCAATTATTCAATAAACAGCATCAAGTGATCTGACACACCCCTCAGTCAGTTAAATGCCAAATGAAGAGGGAAGTGAGGTAAGATATAAATCTCAGCTTCCCACACATTTTTGTCGTTTGAATGTAAAGTACAACAAAAATTCCCACTTCCAAGAAGTTGGCACCCTCAGATTTCACCAACATCAATAGAAATAAGACCTTTTTGGTAGAAAAAAAGAACTAAATTTCTCATTAATGCACCACTCCCAGTACATTCAATATTACCAGATGTCATAGTGCAGAGTCAACTGTACGTCACAAATTTCACAATGTATAGCCAATATGCAGACAAAGATGCCAAACTCAAAGAGATCCCCGTCTCAAACTCTAGCAAAGGTGTTTCAAATCTAAACTTATAGTATCTTTGTCAAAAAAAAAAAACTTATAGTATCTCTTCTGCTACTTTGATCACAATCAAACTAACTTTCAAAATTGACTTAACAGCAAGATAATTTAAGCGTGCTGCTAACCTGTGTCATTGGAAAATCTTGTGAAGTGTAAGTCCAAACAAATTTTTTCTCTGCACATTCGCGGCCTTCATGAATTTCATCACAATGATCTCCATCATCATTAGGCAATATTCTGTGACCCATGTGGAAGCGAACTGCTTTTGCAGAGTATATAGGTGAATCCGATTGAAAAAAGGCTACATTAACATTGAACAAAAGCAACACAATTAGCAAGCATCTAAGTGGCCATCGTAACAAAGGTTTACAAGTACGTGGGAAGAAAAGGATATTACCTTGGAAAGGTTGAACATTTATTTCAGTAATAATACAAAAGTCAGAAATTAACTTATAAGTTAGTCTCTCGGGTACTTCAGGGTTGCTTTGTCCTGAGCTTGACCAGTATGAAGGCCTACGCCCAATTCGGTCCCTGGATTCCAAAGTGTTGTGAAGACCTTCTTCCGGATAATTATCTGTGCTGGAAGCACTTATTGCATTTGAAAGGCATTCACCCACCTCTGATGATGTAAGACCTCGGGCTAAAGCGACATACGCTTTGTGTTCCTTTTTCAAATGCTCAAATTCAACAAACCGGCTGCAGCCAGCATCTTCTTTGTTGCTCGTATCTATGATACGAGCAATGCCAGAGAGTTTAGGAAAGAGTCGTAGGCACAAATGCTTGCATATACCATTACTTATCACTGCAAATAGTCACAAAATAATGTAAGCATATTCGTTAGTCATCATATCCCCTACTTAAGAGTTAACATGTTCCATCATCTGTATCATCATATCAGGAGTAGAACCAAGCTGATTACAGTCCATATGAAGTATATAGCAGCATAACTTGAATATTGAATAATGTTAGTTAGCTAAAAATATCTGGGAAGAGAAGCAAAGAGGTCTGGAGGAACGAGCCAGTATGGCCCTATGTATGTCCACTTGCAAATAGTAAGGATATGCAGGGTATAATTAATCATCAATTAAATGAACTGTGAGTGAGACATCACTAAAATGCTTTCCAATGGTGAAACACTATATATACTCCCTCTGTCCCTATTTTTTTTGCCCATTTGACTTTTCACGGTCTCCAAGAAGCGTTTTAAAATGTATATAAGTTCATTTCAATACATGTAAAAATTATAAAAAAAAATTGATATAATAAAATATACAATTAAGACAATTCTAACAAGACCTCACATGATTGTATGACTATATTATCTCTTGTTGATTAATGCGAACTAATGGTCAAAGTTTTTGAAGTTTGACTCATTTATTTGCAATGGTGCAAAAAAATGGGGACAGAGGGAGTAATTACTAAGACATTGAGAATGCTTAATCAGGAAAAAAAAAAAGTACTCTGCACAAACAAAAGGAGGGGAGGAGGAGGGTGGCAAAAGCCCTAAGATTTCACCTCCATCTTCACCATTCAATGCTTCAAATTTCTGATTTAGGATTTTTCAACTTACCTAGAAAAGTTGATTTCTTCAATCAGAGATTTCAAAAACAAGGAATGTGTAATAGACTAACATAAGGAGGGGAAATATTGGTAGTCTAATATTATTAGGTAAATAGTTTTAGCCTTAGTATAAATCGAAAGAGGAGAGAAAGAAGAAGACAGGCAAAATTATGTGTTAAAAAACCTAGAGAATTATGGCCAAAAGCCATTATTGGAGATTTGTGAGCTAAACTCACTATTGGAGCTTAATAGCCTTAAGCTATTAAAATATCTATGGTTCCCTTCCACCATTATCAATCAGGTCTTAAAGTTGTCATCTTTATTATTTTTTGCAATTTATAAAGTTAGATTATCTAGATTATTCAAAGACCCCATCTTTCTCTGTATTCTTACGGTTAATTGTGTGAGTAAGTTAGCAGTAAACACCAGTTCATTACAAAATGTAATTATGTCACATCCAAGGCATTATGTTATAAAAGTGGTACTAGGAACGTAATCGTCTAATACCCTATATACTGAGAATACTAGGGTAGGAGAAATAGGGAACCCTAAAAGGATGGAACAAATCATCAACTTGCACGACAAAGGGCTAAGTTAAAAGGGGTCAAACCATACCCCTGCATATCTTTCTCATTATTCATGGAAACTCAACACAGTATTTGTCTAATACAGTAATTCACCTCAGCCAACTGAAATAAACGCATATTAGATGGCAAGCATTAGACATCAGCTCATAGCTAGCCTTAATCTTGAGCCTAGTAGACAGCCTTGGTGCAGAAATATGACTCAAATAT